ATGGTTTCATGTCAGAGTAATCAATAAAATTTCTTAAATTGCCAAAAAGAGAACATAAGGTTGACCTTTTTAAAATAAAATATCCCCAAATACTTACCTGACCTATACTTAAGAGCATATAAAAGATATTTTCTTGCTATTTTTAATCACATAAGATGTGTTTATACAAGTGTAATAGTATAGCAGATAGGTCATATTTTTCCTGGTTAACTGTTCCTTGGATATACTTTCTGTCTGAAATGGGCTTTTATTAACTCCTGTGTAAAATTATCTTTATTCCTTCCATTATGGCATGAAATATAAAAGGAAAAACGAAAACGAACAACCAAACATAAAACACCAAAACCGCATCTTCATTGGAACAAAGGCATGGATGTATTTGAAAATTATAGACTATAAACATTTTTAAAAGTAAAGATGTACCTGAATGCATTGACTGGTGCAGGGTAAACTTTCTGTAAGATCTGGAGCCACAACAGGGGACTATCACTAGACACCCAGTATGAAATCCTAGAAGAAAAAAGAAGAAAATACAAAATAAACCATACTGACATGATTCTTATTATCTAACTCTTACTCCTTTATAGAAGGCACTGTCCCCATGATTACCATCAGTTTTCTACAAGTCTTATTGGTTATCTCTTTAAATTTTCCCCTTTTTGATCACTGACCTTACCTTATATTCTTGACAACTGAATTCTAAGAGTTATCACTCCATTCCTGGAACACTGACAAGCTGGGGTACTGTTGCCCCTAATCCTTTGTCCTCCTGTTCCAATCCGTCATACACAGTGCATTCTGAATAAGTCTCGGCACTGTCTTGATCTTGTTATGACAACTCAAAACATTACTTTAAACCCTAATGTCCACTTGACCAAGTCAAGACTATAGCAGTTTGCTTACCTGTGAGCTTCACAACCTTGCCCAGCTATATCCTCTATATCATAGAAACAACACATTCATTGTTTCTTTGAATAAGTTATTTTGCTCTTTTCACTCTCTGTCTGATTATATCTTCCCCCTTCTCATCTCCACTTAACACTATCATACTTTTGGGGCGCCTGGGTGGCTCAGTCGTTAAGCATCTGCCTTCAACTCAGGTCATGATCCCACGGTCCTGGGATCGAGCCCCACATCGGGCTCCCTGCTCCGCGGGAAGCCTGCTTCTCCCTCTCCCGCTCCCCCTGCTTGTGTTCCCTCTCTTGCTGTGTCTCTCTGTCAAATAAATAAAATCTTAAAAAAAAAAAAAAAACTATCATACTTTTTATGTCAGTTCAAGTTCTGCCCTTCACAAATCTTCTGTGATTTAGCACATTGCACGCAGTAGATAATTCTTTCAATGTACTTAATTTCATTTATCTTTAGCAAATGAGATGTATTCTGAATAGGCCAGCGTAAGGAGAAGCAGGAATAGAAAGAGGAGCTTGGTTACTCTGAAGAATAATGGACGATGTACTGTATATTTTTTTCTCAGGATACTTTCAGGAGTTTCTCTTTATCTTTTGTTTTCAGCAACTCGAATGTAATATACTAATTATTTGTTTATGAATCCTGTTTGGTGTTTTCTGTGATCCATGGGCCTGCAGTTTTATGTTTGTCATTAATTCCAGAAAATTTTTAGCAATTAATACTTCAGATAATTCTTCCACCCCATTCTATTTTCTCTGTTCTGTTTTTCCCCTACTCTATCTTTTGTTCATTTCAGTTTGGGTAATTTCTATTCACCTATTTTCAAGTTCACCAATTTTTGTTGCCTCAGGGAAGTGTCTTGATGAACCTGTCATAGGCATTCTTCATCTCTGCTAGTGTGCTGATTTTTAACATTTCCATTTATTTATCTCTTTGCTGAAATTACCTGTATGAGCTTATATGTTGACTACCTCTTCCTCTAGAGACCTTAACATATTAACCGACATATTTAAAATCCTTTTGAGATGGTTTAAACATCCAGGACATTTCTGAATCTGGTGCTAGTTTCTTTGTAGCTTTGAAAGTACATTTATTTCCTTGATTTTTCTTACGCCTGAAATGTTTTGAACATGGCAACATATCAAGCAGAATAACAAATATTAATCTGTCTTTGTACAAAGGTTACACTGAATTCTGAACTATTGGGATTTAGGTCATCTCAGGCCAAGGAAACCCTGAAGCCAGAAAATGACAAATGGTTTTTGAGACAAACACTAGAGTTAAACAGTTTTGGCTTGAATGTGGGCACACCTGACTTTCTGTTAGGCCTTTAGTGGGGATGTGATATTTGTGTTGTTGCTATTTTTGCACTCAGTGAACCAGAGGCTTCAAATTCCTATAATGATACTTTGTGTTTTATATTGGGAGCTGGTTTGCCAGACAATTTTTTTAAGTCTCCCTCCATCTTCATCTTTAGATTTTCCCTTTGTGGTGTGCTATGCTTCAGGGAGAGTCGGCCTGTTTAGATCCCCAGCAGTATTTCACACTTTTACTTGACATGCGTTAGCCTGGTGGAGGTTGGGGGTGTTGGATGATTTGTGATTTGCGTTGGCCAATAGAATGCAGTGAAAGCAATGGTGAGCAATTTCTCAGCCTAGACCTTAAGACGCCTTGCTGTTGGCCTTTTGGAGACATCCATCTAGCTTGCTGAAGAAGCATGTGGTGGAGAATCAGACAACAACCCAACATCCTCCAAAACAGAGATCATTCTAGACCATCCAGTTTCAATTTAGCCACCAGATTGCTGAAGTCACATTACTGAGCCAAGGCAAGACCAACAGAAATCTGCCCAACTAAGCCTAACCTTAACTGCTGACCCACAAATGTTGAGCTTGCAAGTTAATGTTGTTATAAGCTGCTAAATTTTGGGGTGGTTTGTAACATAGCAATGGACAATTGATACAAACACACTAGCAATTTAGAATAAAAATTTTTTTTCAGATTTTAAAAAGGTAATGTTTGTGTTTTGTAACCTTAAGTAGAGTCTGAGCCAAATATCCTGCAATCAAACACATTAAGATCATGTAGTGAAAGTATGAGCATTCACACTCAAGAAGTTAAATAAAGACCATACATAGCATTATGATTTATTTCTATAAAACAAGACGTTAAATGAAATGGTAGGATAAGGATTGACTATAAATATCCTAGTACATCTTATTTATTCATAAAAACATAATTCCGGTTTAATCTAAGATCTATACATACATACATGCATAAATACATACAGATATATTTAGGTATGTGCATTAAATACTCATTGAATCTGGTCGTTTGAGGACACTGAAGAATAGAGTTTACCACTGTTGACATGACCACTGTCATCAGATTAATATTAGACATCTAATGATGTGTCAGGAACAGGACTTTCAAGTATGGAGCAATACTTGATATGCAGTCTTTCTTAAAACTTCTTTCAGTGCCTCCTATGTATTTATTAGCACAGATTTATGTCTAAGCAGTCTCTTTTCAAATCAACTTCCATAACCATGTTCTCACTAATAAAAGCATATTTTTCAAGGACAACAATTAAATTATTACATATATTGACAATGTAATCAACTCAATATTTTTCACTTTTGTTAAAAACCATCACCATCATCATCAAAACTATCTTCATAATTACCTGTATTAACATTAATGTCATGTTAGCACTTTTCCTATTAGTCAAGAGATTCAGAAGAGGTGCATGATTACAGTCTTACATACTAGTTGTCCCATATTTTATTGTTGGTAAGAAACTTCACAGTAACCTATGGAAAACTTCTGGGGAAAAAATCACTTCATGCACTATTAAAGAGAGATATGATTTGTATTGCAGTTATTCATAGGATTATCTTTAGTTTTTGATGTTTACATAAGCAATTAAACGAAGGTCAATTAATAGCAAAGCTACCTGTGTGAATTCTAATCATTCTTCTTATATAAACTGTGTTCTTGAGATAATGCAATAAATAAGAAGAGTGCCTAATCCAGACTAGGAACTAGGAAAAGGGCCTAATCCAGAGTAGGAGTCAGGGAAGACCTTGCAGAATATTAGGATAAACAGACATTAACCAAGGAAACTAGGGGAAGAACACTCTAAACAGAAATTGAAAAACCTGCAAAATTCTAGAATTTTAAAGACTGGGACATTGCTACAATTTATTAGTGTTTTACCATTAAAATAACTATAAGGGGTTTGGAAAAGAGTGGAAAGAATTACTAGTGAGTCAGTTTAGGACCATCCCATAGAAACATGATCTCAAAGTCATTTTCCACAGGACTTCAAGACTTTTTTTTTTTAAGATTTTATTTATTTATTTGACAGAGAGACACAGCTAGAGAGGGAACACAAGCAGGGGGAGTGGGAGAGGGAGAAGCAGGCCTCTCATGGATCAGGGAGCGCAATGCGGGGCTGGATCCCAGCACCCTGGGATCATGACCTGAGCGGAAGGCAGATGCTTAACGACTCAGCCACCCAGGTGCCCCAGACTGCAAGACTTTTAATCAACCTTCTTTAACTCCAATATTTTAGGTTGGCATTCAGAAGTGCCATAATCTGGACCTAAAAATTTCTTGAGGGGCTCTGGCTTAGTTGGTAGTGCCTGTGACTCTTGATCTCAGGGAGGGTTCAAGCCTCATGTTGGGCGTAGAGCTTACTAAAAACAACAACAAAAAAAACCCCAAAAACTTTTGAAACAACCTCTCTCAATCAAACTAGGTGTTATGTTTCCTACAAATGCTAAAGGAATACTTTCCTCTTGACTAATATACATTTCTCTGTGTGGGATTTAGCTTCCTTTCTGATCACAATTTTTTAAAATGTTGACCTACCTTCAACACACAGCACAATCCCTTCTGTCTGCGGCTTTCCTTGTCTACATGAGAACTTTTCCTCCTCTAAGCTCAGATAATTGACCACTGGATGGGCACTTTGGATATTGTTGCATTGTTGTTTATATTTACATGCCATCTGGCTTTCATGATGTTGAATTGAAGTATAAACAATCATAAATAAATAAATCCGTGTTCACACAACCTAAAGTATATTACAGAGTGTTGGTGTTCACAAGGCACTTCCATTGCAAACCCTTTTGTATTCGATACATCCCATTACTTATTAGGGCTTAATTAAATTTAATTGTGTCTAACAATTACAATTCCATATGTAATTCTGCTGTTGGGTGGTGTTCTATAGATGTGAATTATGCTCGGTTGGTTGATAATGTTAATCAATTCTTCTGGGTCATTCCTAAGTTTCTTCCTGGTTGTTCTCTCCATTATTGAGAGTGTGGTATTGAAGTTCCAACTAATGTTGTTGAACTGTAAATTTCTTCCTCTAATTCTGTTAGATTCTGTTTCATTTATTTTGGTGTTCTCTTCATAGCTGTGTACATATTTATAATTTTAAGTTAATTGATTTATAATTGCTCTTTCTTCCTAATAAATCGACTCTTTTGTAGTTTCTGGGAAAAGTCTCCTGGGATTTTAATTAGAATTGCATTCAATTAGAGAATTGAAAATTTAACAACACTGAGGTTTCTAGTTGATAATCATGATATACCTTTTCATTTATGTCTTCTGTAATTTCTTTAGCAATGTTTATAGCTGTCAGTATTTATCTTTTGCATATATTTTGGTAGACCTATCCCTAAAAATTTTATGTCTGGGAGAGTATTGTAAGCAGATTTTAAAAATTAATGTAATTTCCAACTGTTCATTGCTAGTATGGAGAAATACAATTAAACATTGTATATTGATTTTGATTTCCTTTGGTCTTGCTAAATTTATGCAGTGGCTTCTTTTTTAAGATTATTTAGTAGTTTTATCTACAAAATCATGTTGTCTGAGAAGAAAGACACTTATTTTTTTTAAAGATTTTATTTATTTATTTGACAGAGAGAGACACAGCGAGAGAGGGAACACAAGCAGGGGGAGTGGGAGAGGGAGAAGCAGGCTTCCCACGGAGCAGGGAGCCCGATGCAGGGCTCGACCCCAGGATGCTGGGATCATGACCTGAGCCGAAGGCAGACGTTTAATGACTGAGCCTCCCAGGCGCCCCAAAAGACACTTATTCTTTGTTTTTCAATCTACACAACTTTATTTTTCTTATTTATTTGTACTACCTACAACCTCCAATAAAATATAGAAGCGGTAAGAGTGGACATTTTTGCTTGGATTCTGGTCTTAAGTGAAATGCAGTCCTTGCCATTAAACATTACCCATGGATTTTTCACAGATGTACTTTTTCGTCTTGTGAAAGTACCTTTCAATTCCTGGTCTCCTTCTTTTTAATCACAAAAATGTGCTGAATGTTGTCAGCTGAGATTTTTAAACCTATGGGGATGATCTTACATTTTCCCCCCAAGTTCTGTTAATATAATAAATTACATTAATCAATTTTCAAAGAGCAAATTAAGCTACTATGCTAGGATGAACTATATTTGTCCATAATGTAGGAAACCCCCCCTTTTTTTAGACATACATTTACTGGTTTATTATAAAGGATACAGCTCAGGAACAGTCAAATGGAAAAGATGCATTTGGGCAAGGGATGGGGGGAGGGTCATGGAGGTTCCTTGCCCTCTCTGGATGCATTCACCAGTCTGGAAGCTCCATGGGTCCTTTTTATATACAGCTGGATTCAATTTGCTAATATTACAATTAGTTTGTATCTGCTCATGAGGCACATTGGACTGTAATTTCCTGTTCCTGTTTTCGGTGATGATAACAGGGTAATGCAGTCCTCATAAATGACTTGATAATTACTCTCTTCTGTTATTTTCAGAAAGAGTTTGTGTGTAAGATTGTATTTTTCTTTCCTTGCATGTCTGAGAGAATTCACTAATGAAAACATCTGGGCCTGGAAAGTTTTTATTGTGTGTAGGGATTTTTTTAAATTACATCTCCCACTTCTTTATTTAGCATATGACTATTGAGATTTTCTATTTATTTTTGTGCTAGTTTTGTGTTTTAATCTTTCAAGAAATTTATCAGTTTTACCTGTTTTCAAACTTGCATAGATTTGTGTATTATTATCTTTTAATGTTGGTAAAATATGTAGTGATATCTCGTCTCATTCCTGATATTGGTAATTTGTGTCCTATTCTTTTTTCTTCACCAAACTGCACATTTATCAATTGTATTGACTTTTGAAAATCATTGGTTCTGTTGATTTTTTTTTACTGTTCACTCATTTTATAGTTAATTGATTTACACTTTTTAGTGTTTCCTTTTTATTTACCGTACTTTGTGTTTAACTTGATGTCCTTTTCATAGTTTCAGAAGACAGTTTAGGCCATTAGTCGTGAGCCTTTTAAAAATTTTTATGTAAGTGTATAAGTTTTATACAAGTGTATACAAGTGTACTTTCTTCTAAGCACTGCTTTAGTTGCACTTCACAAATTTTGATCCGTTGTACTTATTTTCATTGAATACAAATTCTTTCTAATTTACATTGTGCTCACTTCTCCAGCTCATGAGATATTTAAGTGTGTTGTAATTTTTTTAATATTAGGGGGGATATTCCAGATATCTTTTTTAATTGATTTTTAATTTAGTTCTATAGTCCCTGGAATGAGTTATTGTAAAGAATATATATTACATATTTTAAATCCTTTTTATATCAAGGCTTGTTGCTTTTTTGTTTTGGATTTCTGTTTGTTTGATTTTTTGGTTGACCATATAGTCTATCTTACAGAATATTTTTTTTTAAGATTTTATTTATTTGAGAGAGAGAATGAGAGAGAGAGAGCATGAGAGGGGGGAGGGTCAGAGGGAGAAGCAGATTCCCTGCTGAGCAGGGAGCCCGATGCAGGACTTGATCCCGGGACTCCAGGATCATGACCTGAGCCAAAGGCAGACGCTTAACTGACTGAGCCACCCAGGCGCCCTCTTGCAGAATATTTCAATAGCACTTGAAAAGAATGTGTGTTCTTACAATATTGAGTGTACTGAAAACGACCCAGCAGCAGGATAACTATACTTCAATACCAGGTATACTTCAATACCCAGAGTTTCTGTTTTTTCTTCCATCCAGGTCACTAAATGTCCCAAGTGTAAAATACAATGCCATAATTATACATTAAAAGACCTGGGAGATACGGCCTAGGAATTCTATATTTCTCTGTTAAAATTCCAAATATCTGTTAAAATTCCAAATTCTATATTTCTCTGTTAAAATTCCAATTGTTATAGAAGTTCCAAGTCCCTTTCTCCTTCCAGTCTGGAAATAGTTCTTCCAAAGCATATGAATCAAGGCAAGCTCCTGAGAAAGTCTGAGCTCCACTTTGAATGACACCCTCTACTAGACACACACAGATGTCCTTTTCATGTTTAGTAGCCATGCTTTAGAGGAACAGCTGCAGAAAACCCTGTAGGACCTACACCAGTTATATTACCACAAGCACTTCTGTAAACCTCTCCATGTTTATTGTCCATTGCTCATCTTTATGCTGAGAATAAATAGAATAAAATGTAGTAAATTGAGGTACAACAGAAGTTGAAGACTTGTTCGTACTGCACAGAGATAAATAACTTTTCTTAATTTTTAAGGCATGAAAATACTGATACACTGGACAGTTCAGCTTGCTAGTTTACCCTTGGTCACAGTAACCAGAACTCTCTCAGCTGGACACAACCAAAGGACCGTCTATGGCTTGCCACCACCACCTGCTGGGAAGCACTGACCCGTCTTGTACCAACCTGGTCATTTCTTTCCTCTCCTTCTGCACCTGTTCCACACATGATATGCAGACCAGTAGAGACTTCCAGTCACATATGGAGCTAGGGAAAGAAATGAGCTCCCAAGTCCCAGCATGCCCTGAGCTTCAGGTCATGGGTTGGGTATGCGCTTCCTTCTCACCTAGTCATGGTGAGTCTAGGACCCAGGTGGGAGAGGCCCACCCTCACCAAGCTTTTGTGCTACTCTTGTCATACATTTGATTTCTACATGTGTTATAAACCACCCCTGCCAACTAATTATTGTTTTGTTTTAAACAGTCACTTACACTTTAAAGGTTTTTTTTGTTTTTTTTTTTTTAATGAGGAAAAATGTCTTCCATATTTTCTGCATGAATGTCACATCCAGTGCCCTTTCTTCTTGGGTATCGTTAAGCTTCAGCTACCTGGAGCTGGTTTTGCCTAGCCTTTTGATGTTTCCCCTTACGCTTGCCTGGGTTGTGTCAAGGCATAGACTCCAGGGAACTCTATACGGATTTCTGATACTCTGTGACCCAAGTGCCTGCTGCCTGACCTCCCTAAACTCTGTTCTCTACCTCCTGCACTCAACTTGATTGCCATGCTCTGATTAGGCTCCCCTTATTTACCCTGTGGTCAGGAAAGTGCCTCGTGGCAGGAAGTCTGGGCACCTTGAGAGCTCATCCTGTATGTTTTGCTTTTCTCGGGGATAGCAGTCCTATGTTTCCTGGTACTGTGTCCAAACCCATGTTTACTGTTTCTTTTGTTTTATTTTTCAGTTGTTTACAAAGAGAAGACAAATCCAGTACCAACTTGTCTAACATGGTTAGAAGATGATAATGTTTAATTTTTGTAGAAACATTTTATTAGTGTTAAAGGTAGTTACTTTATATTCTCAGTTACCAAGTTTTAATTTTTCTTTTAATCATAGATGTTGAATTTTATCATATCTTGTTTGTGTCTTTGGATAATTACATTTTATTTAATCTATTAGTATGACAAATTGCAGATATGAATTTTTCTAATTTTAATTAATCCGTATATTCTTTACACCTGAGTTATGTTTTTTCTCTTTTTAAACTCCTATTTGGGGGCACCTGGGTGGCTCAGTCGTTAAGTGTCTGCCTTCAGCTCAGGTCATGATCCCAGGGTCCTGGGATCGAGTCCTACATCGGGCTCCCTGCTCGGCGGGAAGCCTGCTTCTCCCTCTCCCACTGCCCCTGCTTGTGTTCCCTCTCTCGTTGTCTCTCTGTCTGTCAAATAAATAAAATCTTTAAAAAAAATAAAATAAAATAAAAAAATAAACTCCTATTTGACTCAATGTGATAGTTTTGTTTAGGATATTTGCATCTATATTCATATGTAAAATGGGTTTTTTATTTTACTTTCTCATGATAGCTTTGTTTGTTTTTGTTATTAGGGTTCTGATCTCTAGAACAGCATTGCCCGACAGAACTTTCTGTAATGGTGGAAAAGTTCTATTACCTGTAATGTCCAGTATGATGGCCGGTAATCACAGGTAGTTACTGAAGATTTAGAAATGTGACTGGTGTAACTGGGAAATGAATTTGAATTTTATTTGATTCTGAATAGTCACATATGGTTAGTGGCTACCATATTAGACAGCACACTTCTAGAATACACTGACAGTATCTGCACTTAATCCATTATTCCATTATAGAGTCCAAATAAAGTCAGAATTATATGCTTCTTAAAATTTTTGTAAAATCTGCCTTTACAATCTGTTTCTTTTGTGTGAAGATGTTTAACTACTTTTTAAATTAGAAAATAGTGAAAAGATGGTTGAAGCCTTATAGTTCATCTTAAGTAAGTTCTGGTAAATGTTTTTCTATGAATTTATCTATTTCAAGTTTTCCAGTTTGATTGAATATACATGTACTGACTGTCTCCTACCTTAATAATAATTTATGTTGTAGAGATTATTTTATCTGTTATTATAGATATAAGAACTCTCTTGTTCATCTATTTCTACCATCTTAATTTTTTATTTCATTTTTGTCACAGTTTACCAGAATTTTAGACTTTACTTTAAAAATATAGCCTCCCTCAATAATATATTAACTCATTCTCCACCCCCTCCAGCTCCCACCATGTTGATACTACCTACCATTTTCATTTTGGGTAATATACATATTTCACATATTTTAAGTTATATTTATACATAAATACATGGTATATAAAATATGTGCATATATATTTATATATTTACAATATACATTATACACATACATACTTTCATCATTTATCTTTGGTATTTTTCTAAGACAAAAAGAAGTTTTACCAAGGTTTTTTATTAATTTTATTCATTTGCCCACATGAACTTCATAGATCTCTTGCAACAGCTCTTGGACTTATCTTGTCTCTTGTTTAAAATACTTGATCCAAAACTCATTCAATGCTAGTCTTTGTGCAAAATTTTGACGGCCTTAGAGTTCAGAAAAAATATTTAGTTATGTCCTGAAATTTAATTGATAGTTTGACTACATATAAAATTCTAGGATCTAAGGGTTTTCCTTCAGTGCTTTGAGAACACTTAGTGGTGAAATATCTAAGATGTTTGATTATTATATGTGATTTGATATTTTTCTGCAAGTTTTTAGAATGTATCATGATTTTTTATGTTCTTAAATTCATTATTATATATCTAAGTGTGAGTTTCTCTTTTTCCCCCCTCCTCTTTTCTACTTTACTTTGTTTTTCATCATTTTTTAAAATTCTGTGAAAGGTATGTTATCTAAATATCTTAAAATGTTTTTTCAGTCCCATTTTCCCGTGGGTATTAGCAGTCTCTATATGTCTTAGCTTTTATTTTAACATTTTCTATCTGTCTTTTTTCATCACTGAAAGCGTCTCATCATCTGGTTTCTAATTTCATAAAATTGTCCTTCAAGAGTATCCATTCTGTTTCTTATCTGATTTATTGTGTGTGTGTGTGTGTGTGTGTGTTTAAGATTTTATTTTTTATTTGACACACAGAGAGAGAGCACACAAACAGGGGCAGGGGCACACAGAGGGAGAAGGAGAAGCAGGCTCCCCACCGGGCAAGGAGCCCCATGAGGGCCTCGATCCCGGCATCATGACCTGAACCAAAGGCAGATACTTAACTGACTGAGCCACCCAGGTGCCCCTGATTTATTGTGTTTTTTTATTTCAACCATTGTAATTCTCATACCCAACATTCTGTTGGGTACTTTTTTATATTTTATTGTGTTATGCTAGTAATGTCTTATCTTGTTCAGTATGTTTAAGGCTAATTATAACTTCTTTTACCATTTATTCTAATGATTTCACTTTTAATGTAATCCATGATCCAATATATCTCTTTTCCTTTGAAATACTCCTGCCCACTGTGTTTTGTCTGTAAGCTCATGTTCTCCTGGAAGCTTAACTCCTTTCGTTGCATAGTGTCAGACTGCATTCGCGGGTGAGAAGTAGATAAGCCTTAAGTAGAAAAGCCCCAACCCCAACAGAAAACCCCAGTCAACTACTTCTTACCTAGTAAAACAACTCTTCAGTTGAGGATTGTATCCCCAGAGAGAAACGGAATATGGAAGAGGTTCTCTCTAGATTATAATTGTTTGGTCCTGGTAGTTTGGAAGAAGAAACATGAGGATGTGACTTCAGAAGTCAATCTGTTCCCTCCTGTTATCTTCAGCTACTCCTAAGCAGGTGTCTTGTATGCTGCCCTGATTTCTTCCTTAGTAAATGGCAGGAATTAAGGTAGGTTCTTTTTCTCTCTGCTTGGCTACCTCCTGCTCCAAGGAAAAGCCACCATCACCGTCACAGCTACCCCAGAGATTTCTCCATTTTTCTATTTTTTTTGTGGTGTTTTTTCTATAGGTTAATCTTGGAGGAGGGAGCCGGGAATTATCCCAGTTCAGGATTTTGGTAGGAAAAGGAAACAAAACTGAAATCTAATTAGAACTTTCTCCATGCCACTCTATATTACCATTCATGCTCAATTATGTCTTTTTTTTTTAAAGGTTTCTTTTATTTAACTAATCTCTGCACACAATGTGGGGCTTGAACTCACAACCCCAAGATCAAGAACCACACGCTCAATCTATTGAGCCAGCCAGGCACCCCTCAATTATGTCTTTTAAATAAATTCCTCTAATTGGGATTTCTGGATTGAAGGACATGAACATTTTTAAGATTTTTGATATATACACTCAAATTGCTATGAAAAAATCTGCAATAATTTGCCATAAAGCTGTTAATGACAGTGTCTATTTTCTCCCTCTAGGTCTAACACTGGTCTAATGGTTTCTACATGTCTTCCCCTGATTTGATAAATCAAAAAAGTTTTAATGTTCATTTTTTATTCTTGTGACGATAAACATTTTTGTAAATTTATTAGCCATTTGTACTTATAATTGCCTTTTCTCATCCCATCTTTTGCCCACTTTTTCTCTGGGCCTATTTAGCTTTTTCTTATTGAATTTTACAAATTAGAAAGTAGTAATATTGCTTAATGATAATTTCTCAGCTTCTTCAAATTCATCTCTACAACTCTATATTGGCAAAATGTATTTTTTAAATATTTTCACTTTTTCAGGCATTTGTTCATGTTCTATGAGTAGCACATAAGTGCACAGATTTTACCAATCGTCCTACTGAGTCCTGTTTTATAAAATATGTATGAATTGGCCCATTGGGAATAGTCTCTGCCTGGCTTTCAAGTTGACAATAGGTTTTTTTTCCTCTTGCTTCACATTATTGTACTTTAGTTTATATTATGATGTTCTATCGCTTATGATCATCGTACAGTTCCAGCAATAGTACTCCACTGTATTTTGCCTCAGCTTGTCATCGTGATACAGGAAGTGCCTCCACAGTCTGTTGTACTGCTTATGTTTTCATAACCTGCTTTACCTGAAAGAGCTTGTGGATGTGAGGCGCTATTGTATGTAGACCAATGCATTCTGCTCTTCTAATGCCACAAGCATGAGATAGTGGATGGCCCATTTTCAGACCAGGATTATTTAAACAGTGAATTTTTTAGATGCTTTGCTGATTATATCCAGGATGCTCAGAGCATACTCAGAGCTCCACATTTTATCACCTCTGATCGTCAGTGTCTTTAATCAGCTATACTGCCTTTGTCACTTTTTTTTTTCAGTTTGTTTTCATGTTTCAACTTTTTAGTCAGCTCCGTGGACATCCTAAAATGCTAAATGAGACACAACAGAATATTTTTTCTTCCAGTACTAAAAAAAGGACATTCACAAGTATTTTAAGAAATTTCTGTATACTTAGGGTGGTGACCTTGAATAAAAAAACCCACCTCTAATTATTTTGATTTCTTGTACTTGCATTTGGAAATTTCTTCCTAATCATGATAAACATTGTATACAGGCTTTTAAATGCCTATTTTTTTTTAAAGCAGTCTGAACAAACATTTTTTGCCATGATCAGTAATCCTGAGAGTCCAAACTGAAAAACTGGTAAAAGGAAAAAATACCCAGACTCTACAAATGTCCCAGGATTAGTATTTAAAAGGGAGAAAATTTTAGAAAACACGTGGAGCTTTCTAAAAGGTCTTTGTGACAAGCTACCTTGGGAGCTCAGTTCAAAAATAGAAGTTGATGTACTAAAACAGATGTGTCAGTGCAGCTCCAAAAATCTTTATAAATACAGCCATTTGGAAGGATGATCCTGGACCAGAAGTTTTAATCCTTGTGTATCTACATTAGGTGCACATGCCTCATCTCAGCTGTCGTAATTGTCTCTGTAATTTCCTCCTGAGTAGCGGTCATAACCACCCTGGCTTCTGCCACCGTAGTCTCTGGACCTTCCATATCCATACCCGTATCCTCCAGGTCGACTGTCATATCTGCCACTCCCATAGCCCTGGTCCCCACCACCTCTAGAGTAGCTGCGACCACGCCCATGGGCCCCAAAGGCACCCCCTCTAGTTCCCCTGGCCGACTTGCCGGCGTGATCCACACGGATCTGGCGACCATCCAGAGACTCTCCATTCATGGCTTTCATGGCATCTGAGGCATGCTCTGGATTGGTGAAGGTGATGAAACCAAAACCCCGGGATCGCTGGGTCTCCTGGTCCTTGACAACGACCACCTCGGAAATAGGACCGAAGCTGCTGAAGTGGTCTTCCAGAGCCTGCTCATCGGTGTTGAAGTTGAGCCCTCCCACGAAAAGCTTCTCTTCTTCAGAAGACACGGCAGCGAATTCGAGTACTGCAAATTAAGCAAAAAGACCAGAAGAAGAGCAACGGTCGAGGAGCGGAGAGACTGGCTGCCTTTGTCACTTTTAATACGTTTTTGGCACTTCTACTATAAGCGGGCACTACACTTGAAACTATCATGTTAAAACCTACTTTTCTAAGTTTGTGCCTTTATTGTGTTTGTGGTGGGGTTTTTTTTTTCCTTAATTCATCCCACTTGTTCTTCAGCTTCAAAAAGTTTTGTTTTGTATAGAAAATTGCCCGAAAAAGAGCCATCTTTGTTTCTGGTTCGGTGGCTTCTCTGCAATCTTTGGTTTATTGTCTCATTTTTACTATTGTCATTACTGCTCAAACTCAGAGAGCTATATTATGGGTCATAAATACTACTGATGGCTGAATATCGTAGATGGCTGGTAGAGGTCTGCATACGTACATAAAATCATTTTAGAATTTCCTGTTTTTAAGTTTCTGTATCAATAAAATAGTATATCATTTGTTCTGAATTATCCAAGATCTCAAAAGAGTATCAGATCACTTCATCCGCATATTGTACTTATATCAGCTAAATCCTGCCCAAATTGCCTCTTTAGTGCATAAGGCCTTAGAATGCATTGTTTTATAATTATTACAACCATGAAATATTTTGGGACTCTGCTACACCACCCATAAGAGTCAGAAAATAAGTTATTTTGTGGAGAAATAAACTGCTATCATCTATTTGAAATTAAACTTTTCTTTCTTGTGATCTAGCAATTACACTACTAGATATTTACCCCAAGGATACAAAAATACAGATTCAAAGGGGTACATGCACCCTAGTGTTTATAGCAGCATTATCAACAATAGCCAAACTATGGAAAGAGCCCAAATGTCCACTGACTAATGAATGAGTAAAGAAGATGTGGTATATATACATAATGGAATATTAGCCATCAGAAAGAATGAAATCTTGTTATTTGCAATGATGTGCATGGAACTTTGCTAAGCAAAATAAGTCAGTCAGAGAAAGACAAATACCATATGATTTCACTCATACGTAGAATTTAAGAAACAAAACAGATGAATGTATGGGAGAGGGATAAAAGAAAAAAAAGAAAAAAGAGAGAGGGAAACAAACCATAAGAGATTCTTAAAGATAGAGAACAACTTGAAGGTTGATGGAGTGAGCTTGGTGGGGGATGGGCTAGGTGGGTGATGGATATTAAGGAGGGCACTTGTGATGATGAGCGCTGGGTGTTGTATGTAAGTGATGAATCACTGAATTCTACTCCTGAAACCAATATTGCACTGTATGTTAACTAACTAGAATTTAAATTAAAATTGGAAAAGAAAAAAAATAAACTTTTCTTTCTTGGAAGAAGTAGGGTGACAAAGGTTCCTCACCTCCCTGCTTGCCTAGAGATAGTTATGGGTTCTGCTAAGAGACTTTACTCTCCAGGTCAGTGATTGCCAAGTAACAGTCTGACCTTTAGGAGTTATGCAATTTCACACCATGGATGATTCATTTCTGTGTCTTCTCACATGACCATTGTTGGTCCTTCTGTTCCCAGTGGGAAGCAAGAGTGCCACCTCAGACCTGCCTCACTAGCCTCTCTCACCCCTTACCACATCAGAAAGCTCCTTACGAGATTTCCTCCAGAACACGTGGTCAGTTTTCCCAGTGTGCTAGAGAGAGCTATCCTGCGATGACCTTTGTTTACTCACCTATATCTGAATGTTTTCATAAATCTCAAAAACATAAAAGTTAGGGGAAAAAAGAATTAATGGCATATGACTTCTTATTGCTACTCTTTTCTTTCCTAAACATATATTAGGGTAAGAAGGAAAGGGCTTCAGGATTTTTACTTTTTCTCTATCATGTACTGTTATATTTTAGATTATATAGCAAAAGAGGTGTCTTTTTCACATTATTTAATAATTCAATGAACTGAGGTAAACAAGATACTCCACATATAAAAATGCAAGTGTTCTGTTTATGCCTAGGTAGAAGCCATGTGAGAATATCACTCTCACAGTAAGAAACAAGTCATATAATCTACAAAATCCTAACTTAATTTGAGCCCATTGGGGAAATGCAATCAAAGGCAACCAGGTGAACTAAATTCTAGAGAATATCAAGCCCTTCCAAGAAAAGATGAGATATACAGTCTTGCCTTCGGAGAGCACAGGGTAAGAAGTGACAGCCAGAATGCGGGTAAGAGGAAAACTGAAATGTTAAATTATTTTTTTAAGATGTTAGTTATTTATTTGAGAGAGATAGAGACAGAGAGCACGAGCGGGATGAAGGGCAGAGGGAGAAGCAGGCTCCACTGAGCAAGGAGCCTAATGAGGGACTCGATCCCAGGACCCTGGGATCAGGAGCTGAGCCATAGGCAGACGCTTAACCTACGGAGATACCCAGGTGCCCTGCAATGTTAACAAATGCTTAAAAGTATTCTGTGAGCAACAGTTTAGAATCTCTGGGTCCCTTGACACAATAAGAATATAGATTCACTCAGCAACTCTTTTCTTGAGCTTCATCACACAGCTCATGAAAATGATTTGGTGCCAGCCAGGAGACCTGCAGGAGGTCCCTCTATAGTTTAGAACTGCGGGTGGTGGTTATCTGCTGCTGATAGACAGGTACAGTATTAGACCATTCTCTCATATGAAGCATAAATCCTCTGATGCCACAGGAGGGCAGAAAACCCTCTTGTCCTCAGGTCGCAGGAAAAGGTGGCTTGCTGCTGAGGGAGAAAAAGAAACAAATAGCATCTCTCCCTGCAAGACGGGCAGAAACCTCCTCGTGTACAAGATGGAGATAGATAAGAAAGGTCTGCTTCTGGGGAGAGGCAGGAATCTCACTCCCATCCACGATGGGAACCTCCCCACTACAATGCAAAACTGGTGCAGCCACTATGGAAAATAGTATGGAGGTTCTTCAAAAAATTAAAAATAGAACTACCACAGGATCCAGAAAACCCATTTTGGGGTATACATCTGAAGGAAGTAAAATCACTATCTGAAAGAGACATCTGCACCTTTATGTTCATTGCAGCGCTGTTCACTGTAGCCAAGATATGGAAACCTGAGTGTCCGTCAACAAATGAATGGAGAAAGAAAATGTGGTATAGGGAGAATGACATCACCAAGATGGTGGTGACATAGGGAGTTCTTGATTCATTCCCCCTCACAAGAAGAACAACTAGCATCTACTCAAGAATAAGATACCACTGAGGTGAGGCTGGGGTGAGGCTGAAGTACCACCTGTACCTCAGAGACCAAGACAGACGACATTTGAAGGTAAGAGAAGAGGCTACATCTGACTCCCTGACCCTTCCCCAGGCCAGCACAGCACAACATGAAGAGGTCTTGCCTGAGCTTCTAGTTCCTCCAGCAGAAAAGAGAACCTAGAGGTGACAGCTGCCCTCTCCCAGCATCGTGGGTCAACTTCTGGGAGCCCCTCCTCTGATCTTACACCACAGGGTTTGCAGGGAAATTTGGGGGGCCCAGCTCCTGCGAATCTCACTCTGATAGAGAAAGGGGCAGGGCTTGCAATAACCAGCACATGGATCTTGACAAAGTTCATACCCGCAGTGCCCAAGTAGTAATCCCAACGAGCAACTTTGCTCATGTGCAAAACCAAGTCAGAGGTGTATTCTGACCACGGAACTAGGTGGGGTGCAGATCTGCTTATTCAGATCCTCAAACAAGGAGTTTTGTGGCTCTAGAGCTCAGTTTGCCCACACCAAGGCAAGGTGCTGAGTCACAGCCCCACCCATGGGGAGAGTTCCTTCCAGTTCCATCTAACCAGAAGGGCTGGTGTCAACTCCTGAAAACTGTGCAACCCAGGGGCATATGAGCTAAGAGGCAAGTGGACAGAGCACATCCCCCCTAGAGCAAAGCCAGTACCAGGCAGGAGACTTCCTTTCATAGCCAAGGCTGAGCTGAGGGTAGATCCCAGCCCAGCCCAACCCAGCCAAAAAGCCTGTTTGGGAAATGGAGAGTAGTCTAGAGGATCCCCTCCCCTCCCATCCAGGCAAGAGGGATAACATATAGCCCCACCTGCTGTGGAGAATGTCTTCCAGCCCCATCTGACCAGAAGGGCTGGCAAAAACGCCTGAATGCTATGTGGCCCAGTAGCACTCAAGCTGAGAGAAAAGCAGGCAGAGGAATAGTTTACAAAGCTGAGCCACTGGCCCTATTCAACCAGGGAACTTGGGGTGTGGGTTGGCTTGAGTTAAGACAATAGAGAGCTTTACCAACTTTAGAGCTGCTTCTCTCACTGTGCCTGGGCAGAGAATACAATTCATAGCCCCACTCATTGCTAGATATAGCTTTCAGCCTCTCTGACCAGGAAATCTAAGCAGAGCACACGGAAGGCTATGTAGTCATTCAACAACCCTATGTACAGTTGCACTTGAACAGACAGCATAGCCCTTCTGCAGAGCGAAACCAGTGGCTTCATCTAACCAGGGGATTCAATGTACTCGGGCCTGATTTCAGTCCCCAGAAATGAGTTGTGCGGGCCTTGGGCCCTGGCCTGCTGCTCTGCCAGCACAAGGAAGCTAATTCATAGCCCCAACTACTATAGTACCCAGTCCTGACCATCTAGTAAGCCTGACCAGAGAGTCCAGGCAACCACGAAGCCCATCCCACAGCCTCACTTGGGTAGGGAACCCAGCTAGCAGCCCTATCCAATCAGCCAGAGGCACGGCTCTCTGTCTGCATCCTCAGACCTCAAATAGTTGCTTCTCCTCAAAATAGACCATATAATAGCAAGGCCCACCCACCTAAAGACATTTACCCGGAAACCCAAATTGAGCTAACTGGTGAAGAACTGTCTCTACCAAAGCAAACCTGCAAAGTCTGTAAGAGAAGCCGCATTACTCACATGCCCAAATACTAACATAAGAAATCAAGGATCACAAAAACTCAGATAAATATGACATTACCAAAGGAAACTAATAAAGCTCCAATAACTGAGTCTAAAGAAATGGAGATCTCTGAACTGTCAGACAAAGAATTCAGAATAATCCTCTTAAAGAAGTTTAGTGAACTACAAGAAAACAGACAACTTAATGAAATTAGGGGGAAAAAATTCATGAACAAAATGGGAAGTTCGACAAGAACATAGTAGCCATTAGAAAAAAGAAAAGAAAGAGAAAAAACAGAAATCCTAGAGTTGACAAACACAAAAACTGACCTGAAAATGTCAATACTGAGTTTCAAAAATAGACTCAACCATGCAGAAAGAATCAGCAACCTGAGGGATAGGACATTGGAAATTAACCGGTCAGAGGAGCAAAAAGAAAGAGAAATGAAAAAAGGTGAAGAAAACATATGGAATTATGAAACACAATGGAAAAAAATTCTTATTATGGGAATTTTATAAGAAAAGGTGAAAGAGACAAAGTATGTTTAAAGGAATAATGGCTGAAAACTTCTTGAACCCATAGAAACAGAGAGTGGAATGGCAATTGCCAAGGCTGAGGGTCGGGGAAAATGGAGAGATGTTGGTCAAAAAGTACAAACTTCCAGCTATAAGACAAATAATTTGTGGGGATCAAGTGCACAGCATTGCGACTACAGCTAACAATACTATATCATGGACTTGAAAGTTGCTAAGAGAATAGATCTTAAATGTTCTCACCACACATGCCTACAAAACAGGGATAATTGTGTGAAGTAAGGAATATGTTAATTAACCTTATTGTGGTAATAATTTTGCAACATACATGCGTATTAAATCATCATATCGTACACCTTAAACTTACACAATATAATAGGTCAATTATATCTCAGTAAAGCTTGGCGGGGAGAAGACGCCAGAATTCAACTGCCGCGAGGGGAAGAGACAGAGGTGGTGAGAAGACTCCCTATTCCACCTCCCAAAGCTCAGACTTTTATTTTATTTTAACGCATTAGGAAACTAAATTTTAAAGAATTTAAGTAGCTTGGACAAGATGATTTAGTTGAGTAAAATCTGGAATGTCTGACCCGAAGACACACTTTCTTAATCTTAATCGACCCAATGATTTTTTTAGTTGATATTATGCGAACGTACAGTCATCTCACACAATGTTCTCACTGTGAACTACAACTTTAACAGGTGAAACAAAATCAGTAGGAAACAAATGCAAAAGTCTTTCAATGATTTTTTTAAATGAACATTTAATGCATATACTACAGACATTTTTTTAAAAGGCGAGTCCATTTTAGAAGTACCTTTAATAAATAATTTTAGGTAACATTCTATGAGGATATTAATGATTAAGCAAAATCATCAGCTCCAGGAAAGGTGAGTCATCAAATGGTGAATAAGAGGTCATGATTAATTTATTCATTCATTCCAGACTAGGTATCAGGAAGAGAATGGTAAACAAGAAAATTATGTGCCATCCTTCCTACAGACACATTCACATGGTGACAGGCAAATTTTCTAAAACTAAAATATACTATCTTTTTTTTTTTAGATTTTATTTATTTATTGGAGTGATACAGAGAGAGAGCTAGAGAGCACAAGTGAGGGAGAGGGAGAAGCAGGCTCCCCACAGAACAAACACAGAGCCCGATGCGGGGCCCGATGCGGGGCTCGATCCCAGGATCCCGGAATCATGACCGGAGCTGAAGGCAGACGCTTAACAACTGAGCCACCCGGGGCCCCCCCCCTAAAATATACTATCTTAAAAGGGTTCTTCTCCCTACTTTATTCACCCTCCCCCAGAAAACACATGAATCATATTTTACCTTTCTTTTTAATAAGAGACAGCAGGAGTAAATTAAGAATTCAGATTACTAAGTCTTCTAAGACAAAAAAAAAAAGCACAGTTAACTCTAGAAAGCATGACTATTATAAAAATTTGTTCTGAAGGCTACTAAATCGGTGGTAAGGTTTTTCTATAAGTTAAAATGTTCTAAAATATGTATAATTTTTATACATGGCAGTGAAATGTTAGATACTATTTTCTTGTGACAGAGAGTATTTTAATAGGAAGACATTACATGGGACATCAGTGGTCCTGGCACAGAGGTCTCATTCAGCTACGCACCTCTAATCATACCTTAGGATCAAGTTTTACCTAACAATGTGTACACGAGCAGGAGGAAATGAGCGGCGGTGTTCAGATGCTGCCACCATGTGGCAAAAGAGAGCAGGTACTGGATCCCAGCTGAAAGGCAGGAAGGAGAAACAACCAGGGGGATTTAATTCTAAATTTTGAAGAATTTCTCCCTGCCCCACCCACCCTTTGCGACCCCCAACAGCCAATGGTTAAATAATTACTAATATTTTAGGTTTACTACACCTTAAGGGCTATTTGAACAAATAATAATGATTTTTATATGCAAAGGTCTTTCTATTAATAGTTTTTAACATAGTTTTCTGATCATGCTATTTGGGGAAAAAATGTAAAGAATAATACTATTTAGAAAGTAGGCAATTATTTCTCAGAGTCCATAATCTGAGAAACAAACTGGGAGTTCTAGAGGGGAGAGGGGTGGGGGGATGGGTTAGCCTGGTGATGGGTATTAAGGAGGGCACATATTGAATGGAGCACTGGGTGTTATTTGCAAACAATGAATCATGGAACACTACATCAAAAACTAATGATGTAATGTACGGTGACTAACATAACATAATAAAAGAAAGGAAAAAAAAAAGAAAGTAGGCAATTAAATTCTCAATAATTTAACCTTGATTAATTTATTTCCTTATTTATTCATTCATTTAGGCCAGTTATCCCGATGATAATAAAAATACACTTGATCTTGGCCAAAAGGCTGAGAAGTGATCTGATGATAATAAAAATAAAAAACTATTTAACAATTTGGTGGCAAAATTTCAGTAGATATTCTTCATATTCTTTCCTATGCATCCTTACATTTCTTTTACCAAAATGAAATTATATATATTAATATACAGTTTTTCAATTTACTTTTGTAACCTGTAATTTAATCTTGTATGTTTATCCAGAGGTATTAATAAATGTTTTTAAATGCCAGTACTTGTAGATTTACTTTGTCTTTTCAGTTGACAGAATGTCAACCTGAAAATAAAAAACTGCAATGAGCATTGATTTGAGATTAAAGAATCACAATTCAGGGAGCAGAAATTCAGGTGGATATGTAGTGTTCCCACTTGTAGGGTGAAAGCAAGGGGTTTTGTGAAGAAAAGTTAAGGGGAGCGATTACATGAGTTGAAGGAAAGAAAAAAAAGTTTTTCTCGGTGTTAACAAGTTAAGTTACTTTGGGTTATCCATTAATCGACCACTGACTTTATTTTCAGGAAGTCTACAACTATCAGTCTTGCTGACTTCTCAAGCAATTTCTTGAAACAATTGCTCCAGTTCAAACAGAACCAAGTAAGGCTATTCCTCTGCAATGGCCAGTCCTGCTCTGGTGGGGTTTTCTTGTTTGTTTGTTTGTTTGTTTGTTTTTTAAGATTTTACTTATTTGAGAGAGAGAACACAAGTTGGGAGGGGCAGAGGCAGAGGGAGAAGCAGACTCCCCGCTGAGCAGGGAGCCTGATGTGGGACTCGATCTGGGGACTCCAGGATCATGACCTGAGCCGAAGGCAGTCGCTTAGCTGACTGAGCCACCCAGGCGCCCTCCTGCTGTTCTGGTCATGTCAAT